GTAATATGTTTGTTTATTGACGGATTCTTATGATATTTTACCAGACTTTATTATTTATTATTTATTTATCTATTGTTTTTTATTTAATGATGTAATTTTTTCATTTTCATTTTTTTTAACTCTCTGTCATTTTTTTAGCTCTCTCTTTTTTTTAACTATCATTTTTTCTAACTCTCTCTATTTTTTTTAACTCTCATTTTTTTAACTCTCTCTCTCTCTATTTTTTTTTAACTTTATAATTACGTCTTTTTCCAGTTTTAATTATTTGGGCCTTTTTCTAGTTTGAATTTATGTCGATGTATTTATGTTATTTATTTATTATTATTTTCATTTCCTTTTTTCTTTTAAATTTTTATAATATTAATTTAAACATTTTAAAAAAATTAAAATTTTTAAAATAATATTTAATAATATGTTTAAAATATTAACAAAAATAATTATGATATACTTTAAAAATATTATAAAATATTATTTTAAAAATTTTAATTTTTTATATTTTTAATATATTTTTAAAATGTTTTAAAAATATTCATTGATTGTATTTCAAAAGTATTTTTGAAAATATTTTAAAAATACATGAAAAACATTTTAAAAATATATTAAATTTAAATATTTTTAAAATATTTTTAAAATATTGCTATCTAACTGGGCAGGGTTATGAGCCAGACACGCTACCAACTGAGGTAACAGGGCTCCTCGGATTGTGTGCCGAAATATCCCCTTTTAACTCGTCTCGGAGCCACTAATACCTCTAATAATACCTATCCCACGCAGTCTGAGAGTCGAGGGTGTTCATTGAAATGAGATCATCATCATCATTCATGAAAATGAGATAGGTTTATGTTAAAGTCATTCAGGTCATTTATATAACAGTTATATTAAGCAAATTAAGCAAAAGGATACTATGCGTATAAAGAAAATTTATAAAAACCCTTCCTCAATTATATGAATTTTATATAAACGTTATCTTCTGAAAATATGAATAATTATTTTCATGGGCATTTTATATAAAACTTATATACACGATACATAAACTTTAGTTAAAATGGTGCTTATATAACCGGTATTAATTCCTTATACGTTTGTTAGGAAGGGGAAAGTGAATCATGCTACTAGGGGAGTTCTCTGGGACCAGAGTATCTCTAAGAGACTAAAAGAAAAATTTACAACGTCATCGTAAAGAGTATTGTAACTTACGAGAGTGAGGTCTGGCAACTGAAGAAAAGGACTGAAGACATGCTTAGGGCAACTGAGATGGACTTTTGGCAGAGGTCTGCTGGTGTATCGAGAAGAGAGCGTATCCGCAATGAAAATGTGCGCAAGATAATGGGTGTGAAGAATGACATCGTGCACGATATTAGGTCCAAGCAGTTGGTCTGGTATGGACATGTGCAAAGGATGGCAGACGATCGGTTGCCGAAGTAGGTTTTCGATTGGGTTCCTCCCGGAACTCCTGGAAGGCGACGGCGTGGACGTCCTGTGAAAGGTTGGCGATAAGGGGTGGAGGGAGAGATCAGAAGGTGCCAATTGCCTGATGATCTGTCAGAGGATAGGGGGAAATGGCGATTGGACCCAAGATTATTCCAATGTTGCTTAGATTGTGCCATTTTTTTTTTTTTTACCTCGCATTGCATTTTTTTTTTTTTTTTAACTGATCATCTAAACAAGTTTATCTTACTCCCAATAAACTATAATTTCAAGATGAAAATTACCCTATAAATTTGATTTTTTGCAGGCTTTCAGTAATTTTATTGCAATGGATGCAAGCAATACAATCTTAACGACATTGGATTGCTCTTGGTTCCTTTTTGCAAAATGCAATCCAATTGTAACCTTAGCCCGGTCATACATGCAATTTTAAGGGTCTCAGGGCCCAGCTCGCCATGAAGATAGTTCCTCCTGATCTAAATACGGCGTTTTTCTTCGATACGGCGGTGCAACACGACCGAGTCCAAGACGGCAACCGGGGAACACGCGGCGGAGCGTGGGCGGGTTCGCAGATTTCAAAGTCGGCGTCTTTGAAAAAGAGACCGGCTTTTGTGAATCGAAGGAACGCGCGCGGGGGGGCGGAGGGGGGAAGGTCGCGATTGAGAGCGTGTCACTGTCTCGTTGTAATTCACCCGGCATGCGGCTCTAGCGCCAGGCCAAGGCGCGAGTGCGGGGGCGGAGGGGGCGGCGAGAGACGGGGGGGCGCGCCCCCCTCGCATCACTACGCAAACGCGCGGCAAAGACTGGAGCCGGAAGTTTTTGCATGGATTTCCGTGTCGCACGTCCCGCGCCACCTCGACAGACCCCTCCCCCCTCCCGGCCACCACCACGCTGTCGCTGCGCTAGGCCAGGCAAAAATTCCTACCTTTGGAGCGACGGATTTTCCGCGTGTGCGACGGTGCTCCAACGAGTCGATTGCATTGGAATGGAAACCGCCCGTAAACTAGAGAACTGGTACCAGTAAAGGCCGCGACAGACGATTAAATTTCGAACCACTTCCGATCGGAATAGACCATTTGGTAATTACTGATCAGCGTGCAACAGTCTTCTTCGTTCAGACGAAGTGCTACCGTTCATCACTTCTAACCTCTCATAGCCACGCGCGTATTTTCGCAAATCGGAAGGCAAACCGGTATGCGATATCCACTCGGGACGTACTTTTACGTCGATCTCAAAATATTTCTTGGTCAAATTTTGTCTACAAATACCTGACATACTAAAGGTGATATGGTTCTCGCAAATATTAGGAAATGTCCAATAGGTATATACTGGTGCGAGAGAACAACCTTAAAATTCCAAGCGAATGATTTAAACAAATAAAAAGTATTGAAAAAAGAGGCAACATGTATCAGAATCGTGCCTTCTTCAGTGGTCCAAAAAAAACTAACTATTCTCGATAACTTGGCAACCTCCACTAATCCGCCCCATATTTTTGTTTTCCGCGCTCCTGGGGACAGTTCGTCTGGCGGCGTGGGTGCGGCGGGGGAATTTCTCCTCCGAAAAATAATTTATGGCTCGGGATCGGGGAGCAGTCGAGAGCAATCAAATCTGGCCAATTTAACCGCCGCTCCGCGCNCGCCCCCCCCCCCTACTCCAATCCCCCCTCCTTCGACCCCTCGCTGTGGGGGTATAAATTATGTCGGGCCTTTTAATTGCACTTGGCCCATTCATCCTGGTCTCGCTGGCGATTCCCGCGTCGTGCGAGTCCCGTGACAAAAATCCACGTTTCGTGAAAAATCTCCAGATCTAAAGTACTGGGGCTAGGATCTGGAGAGTCAAACACTCCAGCAATGAGTCACTTACTCGCGCCTTCAATTTCACGTGATACGTCCAATCATGCACTTAAATACAGGGGTTGCTTGCAAATATCGGAACCTCCCCGCGGTTGCAGGCGGTAATCCGTTGCGTAAGTCCGCGCCGTGGGCCGGCGCGGTCCCCTTCGCACGGAGCCAACTCCGATGTCCGACCCGTTGAACCCGCCACCCAGGGCGGCAGACGGGCGGACAGGGCACCAACCCCTCGTCTCTCTGGGCCGGCAGAAAGTCTGCCCACTTTCACACCGACCGATGCCCTCGGGGAACGAAGGCGGTCTGCCATTCACCCTCCACCGGAGGGCTTAGGGGCGAACTACCTTTGGCGGAGACGAACGAGGGATTCGTCTCACTCGCCGAGGCGCCTCGCGGGCCAAGGGGATCTCCTCGGTATACCGCCCGCGAGGGACAGTCTCTGAACTTGGCCTCCGATGCGGGGGGTGGCCTGGGCTCGGGTCTACCGAGGTCCCATCCAGGTCGCTGCGTTGCCAGACCGCCCGACTACCCGAGCTGCGGGCAGAAGGCCAAACGGCGGACCCCTCAGCCGCGCGGCCCGGTTCTGCGCAACAACCGTCCGTGGCGTGCCACGTACGACAGTCCAAGCGACTCGCTCTGGGCCTACGGGCCGGGAGGGAGTCGCCACGGGCCGATAGGTCCGAACAGGGAGTACACCGACGGGGGACCCTGTCTCTGGCCTGTCGTGTGGCCGTGAGACAGGGGCGGCAGCTCGCGGTGCGCCTACCGGGGGCCGAGCAGGGACCGCTTGGCGGGACGGACCCAACCGGCGAACCGCCTCACCCGGCCGGCGGCGTCATCCGTCCGGCCGGGCCTGGGCTTGCCCAGAGGAGCCTTGAGCTCCGAGGCGGGATCGCAAAGGAGGTCCGTATCTAAACCTGCTTCCGGACACGCGCCTTATGACGCGCGTGCTCTTCTGACTGGCGAGCGCTCGGCGGCGGGCGACTCGGTGACGCGAGTCGCTGTCTTTGCCGGGGCAAACGACTCGGGGAATAAAACCGCTAAGTATTGAAGCGGGCCGACCAGAACGGCCCGCGTGAACCCGAGCCGAGAAATGGAGCGAGCCTGTCTGGCGGGCGAAGACTCCGGCCTTCGCTGACGAGCCGAGGCCATGTCCGAGGCCAATACCGCGCTATCATACCTGTGCACCCCAATCTCTGAGGCCACGGGCTCTGTCCTCGGCGCCGAGGGGTTAGCGGGTGAGCTCGCCGATCGTGGTAGACGCCGTCCCTCCTCCGAAGCCGTCGGGCGGGTCTCCGGTGTTTCTGCCGGTCGACTCGTTGGTGGGTGATCTCGCCCGCCGCATAGGTCCTTGGTGTGGGGTGGTCGTTAGGGGACACCGCTAAACGGGCCACATGAGCTTTGTCAAGGTGAAGATCACCCCCATGGCGCTAGGAACAGCACTTGCTGAGGCCTGTCGAACGTCAAGCCACGCAAATCTAAATACAGGGGTTAGGATCTGGAGAGTCAAACACTCCAGCGATGAGTCACTTACTCGCGCTTTCAATTTCACGTGATACGCCCAATCATGAACTAAAATACTGGGGCTAAGATCTGGGAAGTCAAACACTCCAGCAATGAGTCACTTACTCGCGCCTTCAATTTCACATGATACGCCCAATCATGCACCTAAGTACGTATGGTTGACTTGATAAAACACACAGGGGAAAAATGCAAAAATCTTACCGGAGGTTTGGTGAGGATGCAAATGGCGTCACTGAGGTGCTTCAGGTTCAGCGTAGCTACATCCTCTTCATCGTGGTCCAGGTGCACGGAGCTCTCCCTTTTGCCTACCCTCCCGGCGTCGGCACCGGCTTCGCCACTCGCTTGCGACGAGAGCGCTTTGAACGGACATGCCATCTCGGATCTCCTCGCCGCGATTAAAACCAACGCGTCGCACTCACATCCGCCTTACTTTTACTCATCGGGTATGGTAATCACCGCCTAGTCACGCTCCATCGGTTCAAATGCTCTTGCTGGGATTCTAATATTATTTTATCCAAGAGCCAGAAAGCCTCACGATAAATTATTTATCAGTTGAAGATCAGTAAAAAATTGGTTCTTGCTTTCCCACGCTGAATCGATAGATATTCACACTCTCGGATCTTCGATTTTTTTCTTTTTATGCCTCGAAATTCAGACAAAAAATTAGTGATAAACTGGTTCCTGCACGTATATGCTGAATCTGCTGGATTTTTTCTGAATTTCGTATCCAACGTTCTTGAAAGCTTTGGTGGTAAGTAAACTTATCCCGACCTAACTTCAACAATAAACTGGTTCCGACAATGCTGTATTGGCTATAATTTCCACGCTTGGATTTTAAAGTGATAATTTCGGTGGATCTCAAAGCCTCGCTGGCACTTTGAACCCTTATTCGGATTTAGAATGAACTATTTCCACACTAAATTTGCTGAAATAACACGCTCTGATTCTAACTTGTTTTTCTGTCGGGCATGAAAGACTCAGAGTCAAGAGCCCTTATTTGGACGGTGGTTCTGTATTCTTGGCACTACCTCAAAACCACCTAAGACCACTTAGAACCAACCCACATTATTGCTTAAGTTTAAAGATTTAACACACGAGCTTCACATCAGCATCACGACAAATTGAAGGTGATTAGGCGCCACTTTTGTTCTCTTGTTTCTAGAACGAAAAGAGAAAAGAGAAAAGAGAAAAGAGAACTGCGATTAGTAGGTACGTTGTTGTTGCAGTAAACGTCAACTGGTGATTAAATATAAAATTGAAAGCGGGTCAGAGAGATTAGCTCGCGGGCGGCTTTGGATGAAAATTTTAAAAATTCATAATTTCATTAATCAAATAAGGCCGGGCGTTGAGCCGAATTTTCATTCTAATTTCTTTTAATTAGCCACGATTGTGTTTCTTTCACCAACAAGAGAGAGTTCCACAGCCGATTGTATCACTCGCAATGGCTCCTGATCCAGCAAACCTGAAAATCGCAAAACAAAACAAACCGAAATTAGATTTATCATAGATTTAAACGAGAGCTTTTAATTGGGTTAAAGTCATAGGAAGTTGAGGTCAATATTGAGATAGCTCATACTGCCGTGCTAAGGAAGAACTCCGTATGAGCCTTTAGTCGTTGCCAAGTTTCGCTCGATAAAACAAGAAATTTCTGGTAAAATTATGAACATTTTCTCTCCAATTTTTAAGATACTTTTGCTCGCAACCTCACTTAAAGTTCCTGAAAATTTCAAGGAAAAATATATAACTTTCCTCAAAAATGCACATTTTGTGAAGGAAATTTGGCAACTCTCGAATGTTCATACGGCGTTTTTCCTTAGCACGGCAGCATAGCCTTCGACTCTTAAATTTTGCGAGGATTTTCTCCAAATTAAACGCAAAAATATAGATCCAGGACACTGCGATTTTGTCACAATGTATGTCGTCCTCAGATATCGGTGGAGGTCGTCATTCCAAACAGTTGAATGTAACACATTTGCAGTGTCGTGGAATATTTTTAAAATGGATGGGCTTTGGTGGGTGCTCGCTTCGGGTTTGAAAACCTCGCGACCAAACCAGCCGCCTTTGACGTGCTCTGGATCGGCGCTTCGAATTATTTATTTTTCGTGTCTCTTTCATCTGAGCGATCATCTTAATCGTGGTTGGGTTCAAACGTCGTTGCGATCAATGGTCGTTTCATTTAACTCTCCGCTTCTCCTTGAACTAGTTTCTTCCAATCTGTTTGGTACTTGGATGTATGGAATTGAAATGCAATTGCTCCTCGGTAAGTCGCCGCACAGAGAGTCGTTGAGGAGTCCGGTCTGTTCCTTAAAGAGGCTGGTTCAGATGAAGCACAGTTTCGATTGGACTGCACTATGCGATGAGATACTACCACTTCCAGCTCATCCATACGCTCACCCATCTATAACGACGGTATAAGTCGGCAATCACATAACTCGATTTGCAACGTAGCAGGCTTCCTGTCATACTTCATCTTTTAAACGGAAAACTACTCGACGGCAATTCTTTAAAACTGCCGTGAATTTTCCTCCCTGTACGGAGAAAATTCTGCAAAAAACTTCAAGAAATGGTCTCAATTTGTTCTCCTTTAAAAAAAATTATATATAAGCGAAGAATTTCAGACACCGCAAACGAGATATGTGAGTGCGGACACACGCCGTCGATATACGTTTCACGCAGACCAGCGACCGCATTGTGTTTGGTGCAATACGTGAAGTATTCATGCAGTCTTGTAGGCGCTAACATGCTCTGAGCGCCGATCAGCGACCGCACTGTGCTGAGCGCAATGCGTGAAGTATTCGTGCAGTCTTGTAGGCGCTAATATGCTCTGCGCGCTGACCGGCGACCGCACTGTGTTACCTAATCTAACCTAACCTAACCTATAGTGGCGCATACGTTGTTCGGAAAATGAGCCAGGAAAGGTAGTTTCTCCCCGCAAAATGTAGTGTGCTTGGTCTGTAACAAACGGCGTTTGGAGCGAGTCAATGGGAGAGGTCTCACATGATGTGAAAACTTTAAAAACTCATATACTAGTCAAAACGAAACAGAGAAGTATAAAAGTCATTTCGTTGGCTTCCTTGCAAAATTTCCTCACAAAATCACCCCTTCTATAAAATAAGAAAAAATAAGTATACAAATTTACGGCAAAATTAAAAAATGTCAAGTAAAAATGCCTCTTTCCACTGTGCGGCGAACCCTTCCACTACCCTTTCCATCTCTCCCATACCTATAAAATATTTGACGTTGGTCAAAAATTGATTCCGTGCGTTTGATTGATTATGATAAGCACTGATTTACAGAAAGGTTGCATCAATGAGGATTATATGTGCATTCTTATAAAATAAAAGTGCGTTTTAAATGAAGTGCAAAGCCAATATGCCAAAGTAAATGCTATAAATGCATGTAATGGCAAGTTTGACGTCCCTGGTTATCATGCTTTGCGTCAGTAAAATCGCGATCCTCATCACAGCGTGTGCGATAAAATTTTCCTCTCTATGTACCAAATGATACGAAGTGTATGATTTTTTCCCATGAACATTCAGTCGGTAAAGAGACTGGTCCATAAAATTTTACACATGCGAGAGTATCTGGATATTTATGGAATGGATATGAAGCTGCACTGGTGATGATTATCGCAAATTGGCAAGAATAAATTTCATTTCAATTTAGGTAAGTTCAATAGAAATAATCAATTTGGGTTACACAAACCAATTTAGGTGCTTCAAAAAATATATTTACGACTCGAGTTTTCAAATAGAGGCTGATAACAATATAAAAAGGAATAAACAAAGTGAAACGATTCGATTGGCAGTGTTGCAACGATTTGGCGGTATTCTAATTTCTTGATTTTGGTCAGGTTAATTATTAAAACGTAGCCTTATCGCCTAAAATGTGATCAGAGTTTTCCTAACATTTGTAGTGAAATAAAAATTAAATTAATAAATTTATAAAGAAGAGCACAACGAAGTTTCTACCAAGTGAATGAGAATAGTATACAGACCGAACAAGAGGTATTCTGTTCATCAAGGTTCAACCGAGATCGTAGCGCCTGGGTCCGACTAAACGTCCTCAGCGGATACCCGTGTTGCATATCCAAAGAAATGAAGGCGCTTTGACCTTTTCGCGTTCCTAACGATCCATCTTACGGATTTTCAATTTATTATCGTGTGTGACCGGGTGATTTGCTGCGTCCAAATCGCAAATTCAAAGCAAAGTAATCAGTGAACAGGATAAAATGTTCGCTAGTGTATTGCATCATCAAAAATCTTTGGATTTTCATTAACTTCTTCTAACTTCCCAAATATTTCTTGGCTCATTTTCGATTTTGTTTGATTTTCTTACGCACGTTTGTCCCACAATTTTCGGATGACACTGTTTGCTCTGGTCTATTGTTAAAAATCCGAGAGGACGAGTACTCTACCACATTGCCACACATCTCTCCTTGGCTCCGATTTGAATCTACGCTCTCCTGGGGGAACTCAATTAATTCGTCACGTGTTTTCCGCAGTTAAGTTAGCCAGCCAATTCGGAGCGGGAGTGATATTTGCGCTGAGCTTCTTTTTTGCGCCGGTCATTCATTCAGAGTAAATCATTGATTTTTAACAGTGTTTCAACAGATCAATTTTCAGTTTTTTTTTGCTCTAGGACCCCTTATCCTGTGGAGGGTCGCAAAGTTAGAATATTTTTTTTCCTCGAGATCTTACTGTTGGTGACCTAATGTACTTTGACTTGCTCTATTCGACAACGCTGCATCTCCTCATTGTTTATCAGTATGCGCAGCGGTGCGCTGGAGCTCATAATCGCGGGAACGACTCGCAGTTATCGGTTATTTCGAGTGACAACGATTCCAAAACCCGGGAGAGAGGGGTCTAAAGGGTTGGCGGGGGCATTAAAAGTCGCAGCCAACTTATGGTGCATTTTTATTCGCCAAGTATCCAGCACTCGCTCTAACTCAAGTTCCAAGTTCGAGAGGAAATTGAGTCGTTGTTTACTCTTTGTACCGTTCCGCTGCTTTACCGCCGGCACACAGTGGATCGAGTAAATTAGAGAGGTCGGACATGACATTTTTAACTAAAACTAAAAATGTTGATGTTTAATTCGTCACATTTTAGATTGCAAGGGGTACGCTCGCAGCAAATTTCACGAGGGAACCGATGGAACCACTTTTAAAATCTCAAAGTTTTGATCTAACGCAGTTATAAGCTTTTAATACTTCCAAAGTTTGTCCGACCTCTCGCATTGACTCGATCCACTGTGCGGTAAACAGAATCCGAGGACCACTGCTTTCCGGATCGCCCGTTCACTTATCCACTTATTGTTTTGGACTCATAACAATTCCTTTATCTTCGAAATGGTCATTTTTCTTCCGACTTGTGGATATTAAAATGAAAAGAAGCAGTAGTTTTTTGTCCAAAAATCAAAGAAAAGGTAGTTTTTTTAGCTGAAAATCAAACATAAACGATTGGATATACAAAAAAAAAAAAAAAAAGAAGATAGCGTGTAGTGATATGTAATGGTCCGATGTAGAATTTGTGCGAGATTTTTTTTTTTATTGCTGCATTTGAGAGTTCTCAATGAGTTGCGTTCGCAGTATTTTTCATAATTTTATTTGATATGGGTTTTAGAAAAACAGATTTGTAAGTGAAGAAATCTGCCACCTTGTGACGTCATTAGATGGCATTCCCCATTTCAACACATGCATTTTAGCAGTTTAGGTCATTTAGTCATATACATCCTCTAATAATTGCTCATTTTAGAAACCAAGGATTTCCTCTTGCTCAGTTCACTCGGCAGTTTCCTCTAAAACATGAAATTCCCAAAATTTCCGATACCTGCAAATTCTAAATATTTTCAAATGAGCTTAAAGCGGTAGTCCTATGCGACGTTCGGAAAATAATGTTTTTATTTCAATATGGATGGTCACCGATCTTTGAGCGGGAGAAAGGAGGATTTTTTCAGTAGTCCGCCCACACAATAAAGTTCGTGAAAATTTTGGAATATGAGACTCGAATCGTTCATTTCAAGAAAGAATTAAGTCTGAAAATCGCGAAATGATTCAGGTGGCACAAATATGTGCGTCATGCGTTACGAGAGAGTCGTCTTCCATTAAAGACGCCTTTACCCACCCCTATCCTCTTAAAAAAGAAGAAAAAGACAATATTTTCAAACCCCCTTTTCAAGGAGACAATTCAATCTATGCGCATTATGAAAAGAATCGATTTTATTTTCGAGGAATGCTCGAAACATTAAATGTTTTTTAGTCTAATCGAGAATAATTCCTGTTCGGCAATTTATTTTTCCCCCTGATATTTTTTTTAACGTACTTAATGTAAATAAGGATACATATTTCTCCACAGAAAAAATCCCATAAAAATCCGTTCGGTAAAAACGCACTAAATTTCAAAAGTAGCTCCAATGAAAACAATCTCCTTAGCCGAGCCTGCCAGGTTCAGCTGTGGAGTTATT